GGCCTCTAGGAGGCGGGCGGCACCCGAGCGGCTGGCGTATTTTCCGGCCAGGCCGACGAGGGTGAAGGCGTCGATGAGCATAAAGCCGCCCGTGGGCCGCGCCAGGGCCGCGGCGGGTCCTGGCGACCCCTCGAGGGAGGCCAGGGTGGCCAAGGCAGCAGCCACAGCCTGGGAGGAAAAGTGCGCCGCCGACGCGCACTTCTCGTGCGGGTCATTCTCGGAGTTGTCGGGGACGTGCGAAGCTACCGCCTGCGAACGGCCGGTTGGAAGACGTCATGGCGGGCATGTACGACCCTTAAGAACCCGCGTACGACCAGAAGGTCGGCTGTGAGGCGAGGCTGAAGGCAGCCCAAAAACTGCTGGATTTCTGTTGCTGACAGTTGTGGGCGATCCTTCGCGAACTGACGGCAGGCAAGCCGGCAGGTGGGAGGCGGGGATGTGCCGGGTGGATCCCCAAGCGGGCGAGCCGGGCCCGTGCATAGTTCGGGCGCGGGGGGCGCGGGAGCATGAGAAAGACGCACCGACATGCTGGTGGCTACCGGTCTCTTGATTGCCTGATTTTGACGATTCTCGTTGGACCGTCGCTCGGAGCGAAATCCCAAAAGCTCTCAGCTCAAAGGGGGAATTTATTTGTTTGGGCAGTGTTCGACCGGGCTATGACGTGCGCGTCCCGCGCCTTGATTGACGAGCTCCTGGTGCGCGAACTTTGTTTTGTGTGTTTTATTTTACTGTCAAGTGCTCCAAGATCCCAAAACGTCTCCTCTCGCACGACTGTGTGTTCGCGTATGCGGCGCCCGCCTCTCAACCTCCTCTGCGCTCTCCGCTCTCTGCGGCGCACAGAGTGTTCGGCCGCGCCGCGCATCGCCCTCGGCGGCGGCGCATCACCCTCGCCACCGCCACCACATCGCCATCACCTGGCGTCGGGCCGCGCGCCCATCGCACTCGGGTTCATCGACGGGTACAGCGACGCGCCGCCGGCCGCTCCAAAGGCGGCAACCTCGCCCGGCGGGGGCACCGGCGCACCGTAGGCCTGGCTCACGTACTTCCGCGCGTCGGCGTTGTCGGCCGCCTGCTGCGACTTTGCCCACCAGAGCTTCAGCCTCGCCCCCTTGATCGCCAGCCGGCGGTGCAGCGCCGTCGCCGCCTCCTCTGCCGACTTGCGCAGCGTGTACTCGATCAGCGCGCAGCGCCGCTCCGGCTTCATCCGCACCTAACGACCGCACGGGCCCGGTCCCCCGTCTCTCCGCCACGACCCGCCTGTGTCCGCCTGTGTGGTTCGTCTCTGCGCACCGCCGCAATCTCGCCGTATGCGTAGAAGGCGTCGCGCAGGTCCTGCTGCGTGATGTCGGCGGTGAGGCCGCCAACCTAGACGAGCAACCACATGCCCACTCACGCGCGCTGTGGGAGAGGGGGGGGGGGGGGGGTGCTGTCGGCGGTGGGGGCCGCCCACCCAGAGCGCGACGACGCCCTGGTCCTCGGGCGGAGTGAGCGCCGCCATGCTCTGCGCCTTATCGAGGTACTTTGCCGCCAGCTTGTCGCCCTCGGTACCTAGGAACAGTCCACGGCATGTCCACGACACGTCCGCGACATGTCCGCGACATGCCGCCCTCGGTACCTAGGAAAGGGGCCGGGACGTGCGTGCGGCAAATGTCCGCGTGCTCTGCGGCGAGCTAGCCCGGCCCTCGGCGCCGTGGTAGCGGTTGCGGATCGCCTCGTTCCTCGAGCCGCGCTGCGAATCGCGCAGAGCCTAAGAGTCGCCACCGCTCCCTCGTCATCATTCATAGCGAGAGAGAGAGAGAGATCCTCCTGGACGGAGTGACGACGCGCCTCGCGGATCTCCTCCATCTCGTCCGACGTGTCGCGCATGCAGCCGAGCGCCCCCTCCGCATGCAGCTTCCGCACCAGCGTCGAGAGCAGCTCGGGCTGGGTGGACGCCAGCTCGGGGAAGCGAAACACGCCTAGGTATGATGCAGCGTCTTCAGAGCAACGCATGAACACAGCGGATAGGAGTACAGTGAGTACAGCGGAATACGGCGGAATACGGCGGAGTCCGTGTCCTCTCGAGCGCTGGTTGGGAGACGAGAACACGCATCCCGCTTCTAGGATAACACGCCGCAGCAGGGGCGGTACGGGCACGAGCCGTTCGCGACGCGGTTGCAAGTCTGGCGCGCCTACAGACAAGAAGCGGCGCGCGCTCCAGCGAGAGGGAGGCGCCCGTAGGCCCTCGCGACGCGACCCGCTGGTCCGGGAGGGCGCCCAAAAGGAGCAGAGCTTCGGCAGGTTGCGGTCATAGTAGGGCGTGTGCGAGTTGTTGCGCGAGAGAGCGGCCTACGAGGCGGTCAGCCGGCGGACTCACCCGCCGCCGCCCGCCACCGACGCACCAGCCGCCCGAAGAGCGCAGGGTGCCAGCTTCTCGAAGTTGGCACCCACCGACGCGGCTCCCCCGCCCGCGTTGAGCTCCTGGTAGCCCTGCAGCGTGCCCGCCGCGAGAGACTGGCGCTGGTTCTCCCAGTAAAACTCCTTGTTGACGTCGGAGCCGGGCATCTGGACGCCTGTGGCGGGGGGACGCACGCACGCACGCGTCACCTCCGCCGTGGCGGGCCGCGATCTCGCCGCGATCTCGCCGCGATCTCGCCGCGATCTCGCTGGAGGAGCAGAGGGGGGGCAGCTAGCTACAGCAGGTTGTTGCAGCGACCAGCTGCAGCGACCAGCTGCAGCGACCAGCTGCAGCGACCAGCTGCAGCGACTAGCTGCAGCGACTAGCTGCAGCGACTAGCCACTCGCCTCCCACGCCCCGCTCGCCGCCCTTGCCTGCGCCGGTCAGCTGGTCGCGGACCGCCACAGGCAGGTTGTACTCCATGTCCATGAGGCAGACCTGCCCCCGGGGGGGGGGGGGGGGGTGAGCTTGATTCGCCGTCTTGGACAA